TTAGCAGAGAGTGTACAGGAATGAAGAGCCAGACCTGACTGTCATTGGCCTCTCTGTCTCTCTCTCCATCCTCCTCCCTCCTTCTCTGTGAACTAACAAGCACCTTTTGAGATAAGTGTGAAACGCTCCACAACTAGAAAGCGCACCGCGAACCCGGAACAGGAGTCACTCCTCTACGCAAAGGACTGCAGGAGCAGGGAACGGGAGATCCAGTCCGGCTGTCAAAGCCGAGACGCTGTCTTAACTAACATACGGCGTCCAAAAACCGCCTGCACTTGGTGCCCATGGACACAGCGGCTCAGGGTTCCAGCAGCACTGTCTCTCCTGGGGCTCGAACCCACCAAGTCCAGACCCCCCCGGAGATGACTCCATGCTGCCACCTTGCGGCTTCTTTAAAGAGACAGCTGGAGGAGAGCCTGGGCTTGATTGGGCCTATCACTCCAAATACGCTCCACGCCACGGCACCTCGGGCGAAACTCTTCCCCCGCCTCACAGGGGGAAGCAGATCCCGGCGCAGACCCACGTTTTTCAGGTCCCCGCCGGGCTCGGGGCCAGGTCTCGCCCCCCACCACCTTGCTCTCCGGGGGATCATGGGAAGGGTCGACGATATCCCATGATGCCCCAGTGGCAGCTCTCCCAGAGGACTGGGCGCTGTGTGTGCGTGTGTGTGTGTGTGTGTGTGCATGTGTGTGTGTGTGTGTGTGCGTGTGTGTGTGTGTGTGTGTGTGCGCATGTGTGTGTGTGCGCATGTGTGTGCGTGTGTGTCAGAGAGGGCCCATAGAGGGCGCCATTTTATGGAACGAATGGATGAGGTTTGGGGATCTCTGCAATAAAAGCTTTTTGCCCCGGTATGCAAACACTTTGTGGAGGTGGGGGGGGGTGCTGCACTCTTATCAGTTTTGACCTCCTTCTGTTACATTTAGACCCCTCGTCTTTCGTCACAGGGCCCCCCGAAGGGCTCGGGCCGGGGCGGGCCGGTGCTCAGTACGACTCCCCGCTGTCTGACCAGCGTGGCTGGGCTGGCTCACAGGGGAGGACAGTGCTCCAGTCTCACCTCACCTCCCCTCTCTGTTTCAGCGGCGGAGGCAGTGCCCGTAGGACGGAAGGATGGCGAGCAGGTAGGGGAGGGAGTCCGCTTCCCCGTCACACAAACTCGGCGACGAAACAACCGGCGCGAAACAGATCGGTTTGAGCTCACACTTGACATCTGACAGCACCTGGCTCACTTAGGAAACTGACCCCATGACGGCTCCTGAGAAGGACTGCCCCTTCATTGCAGTCAACTGGGATACAGAGCCAAAATGGCTACCCATGGGGCCCTAGTTTCTGTAGCTGTCTCCTATTGTTTGGTTTCTGAATCCACCTTTGTGCAAGGACAACAGATAGGAAGCGCTAATTAACGAAAGAGATCTCGAAAAGCGTCTCACGTTGTTGTAAAATGCATTGCAAAGGGATCTCTGTCCTTTAATCTTTCTGCCTCTTTTCTCTCTCTTTCTCAGCAAGGACGTACAGAGTTCTCCTGGGATGGGATGAACGTAAGTAGTCTTCTTTCTGCCCATCCTGTTTTTTTTCCCCACTGACATGTACGTGCTGGGGG